CAGTCTTCTTTTAAATTACTCATATTCGTAAACACTCAAGAGTCGCATAAAATCCGTAGGTCTAAAGACATAACCGTCACAGTAGCTTTCAAACTGTTGATCATAGGAATATCATGTTTTTCTTGGAATTAAAACTACTTTTAATTATTTAAACAATACTGAATTGTATAACAGTAGATTATTAGTAATGAAAATACAGTGAAGGCAATGAAATTTAATATTAACTTCGACATTTTAACTTAACTTGGTGATTTAATTATTGTATCCAAATGTTTATTTTATGATGTGTTGCTGTAGGTTCCGATTCTCTGGGCGCGTGCTGGGTCTAGCTCTGGTGCATGGCTACCTACTGGAGGCGTGGTTTACACGCGCGTTGTACCGAGCGCTGCTGCGACTGCCGCCCGCCCTTGAAGATGTTGACGCTTTGGACGCGCAGTTCGCCGCCTCATTGCGATGGTTGCAGGTAACGAATTACGATGTTTATGCATTGCTAAATTTCAATTTTTAAAGTTGTAGTTCAAATTTAAGTATACTTAGTTAACATGGTTAAAATATATACACCAAGTGTCGTTCTAATTTCTAATTCAGAGCGCGCGTTGCGTGTCGTCACTGGAGCTGACGTTCGCGGTGTCGGAGCGGCTGGCGGACGGGCGCGTGCTGGAGCGCGAGCTGAAGCCGGGCGGGCGCGAGCTGCCCGTCACTGCGCGCAACAAGCACGAGTACCTCGAGAGGGTGGTGCGCTGGCGCGTGCAGCGGGGCGTCGCCGCACAGACAGAGTGGCTCGTCAGAGGCTTCCATGAGGTACTATATACACATCTTACTTCTCACTAATATTAATGCGAATGTTTGTTATTAAGTAAGTCCAGAACAGCTTAACGGATCTTAAACCAAGGAATAACATATAGTCTACTATATTTTTTAAATTCCGTCGGACCAAATAGCAGGCAACCATTATTATATAATATAACAACAACCCAATATCCAAAATATTAAAGGAAATCTAGGGTGCATTGAGTGGTAGGTGACAGGTGACAGCAGAGAACTTACCGTGGCCCACGACTCGTATTGCTTATACAAGAACATATTATAAAATCTGTTTTCTAAAAAATCGAGAGAAATGAGAAGATGATCGTTTGTACATGTGCAATACAAAAAACGATACTTCAGTTCAAAAGATAACTTTTTAATTTTTAATTATATCTACCTGATTGTTACAGAAGAACCGATTTCTAACACTCATTTATTCACTTATATATATTTCATCAGAAGTACGTGCGGCAAAACAAGTAATTATCTTGTTGACAAATCATTGTTAATGAACAATTTACTTGGTCACGCATTATTTTCTTCCATAATTAAAAACTTGTTTTATATCGTTATACCTCTCATTATCTTTGACTAAACAGAGATAACAATATGTTTCATACAGGAATTTTGCTCTCACAAAGCAACGATTAACCAACCAACCAATAATTGAGAAAACGTAAACATTGTAAAGTCGACAGTATTTTGACGCAACAGTTTTTGGCACAAATCTGGGAATTTTACGAGACCTAGTTTTAACTAACGCACATAAACACCGTGGGCGTCACACTCTTAAAATTTATATTACTGTTTTACAATTTGTTGATATTTAATCTTTTAGTTCGTATACTATTTCTTGTCCAAATCCGAACTTGAAGAGTAGGTGTTAATCATACTTCATACTAATATTATAAATGCAAGTGTTTAGATGGATGGATGTTTGTTTGAAGGTATCTCCGGAACGGCTTAACGGATCTCTGTGAAATTTGGTATAGATGTAGAATACAGTCTGGAAGAACACATATACTACTCATTATGTTTAATTAATGCTGCGCAGGAGGAGTCGTGGGCGACAGCTAGTATATAAACTCATGTTCGCTAAATATTAGGTATAATTAGTGACTGTCTATCGCTCATGCACAACCACAACACCACAAGAACTGTAAACCGCAGAATAAAAGCGATAAAATCTTAAAAATGTACAATTAAACATTCGCATAATAAACTTAGTTTAATTTAAATATGTAATTCCGCAATAATGTTACTTATATTATAAACGCGTATGTTAGAAGGTATATCTCCAAAATGGTAATATCTCTCTTATATTTCCAAAAGCATGAGAAAGAGAAGACGACCCTAAGCCCGATGATTAGACAACAAAATAAAAATTGGGAAAATTCTGGCTGAAAACGGCTACAATTAGGGAAATATAAAGGTCTTTGCCCAGCAAGGTTCTCGACTGTTTCTTTTATATTTCTTAATTTTATTTAAAACCTTCATGGCAATTAAGGCTAATTATTATTATTAATATCGCCAAAACCGCTGCATGGATCTAACTAAATGTGCATTAGATGTAGATGAACATTACATGGAAGAACGCATAGGTTAATCTTTTTTTAATTCCGAGCGGACAAAGCCGCGAGCGACATATAAGAAATAATTTTGTGAACCACAGGTTATGAAAAATGCTTCATATTTGCAGTATATTTAGTATGAGCTATATATCTATAGCGCAGTAATTTTCAGGTGGTAGACCCTCGGCTGGTGGGAGCGTTTGACGCGCGGGAGCTGGAGCTGGTGATAGCAGGCGCACCCGAGCTGGACGTGGCCGACTGGCGAGATAACACAGAGTACCGCGGCGGTTACCATGACGACCATCCCGTCATCGTCTGGTTCTGGCAGGCCATCGACAGGTAAGCAAGTTATTTAACCTATCTGAATTACGACCCAAGCATCCAAGTCTTTTGAAGAAACGGGTCATACATTGTACGTCATTGTTGTGTACATTTTATAGCAACCCATAGTTTTTGATGTATCAAGAACAGCAATCCTTTTAGTATATTTATATAGTAATGTTGTTTTAAAATACCTAAGCTTTAAGTTTGCAAACAAACTGGGTAAATAACCTCTTTATAGTGCAATATATTTTACACTATCAGTAAAGTCAACATATCAACCATTATCAATACAATAAAGTTTTACAACAAAGCAATATCCTACTCACAAGAGACAGTGAGAATGTTACATCTGATGCAAACACAATGCAAACTTATTCATGTCTGATTAAGAGAAACTAGTATTTTATTACTTACCCACAAGGCCTAAAATTGAATATCTATATCATATTGCACTTTAAATATTCATTTACTTTCAAAAGCTATAAGCTAACGATATTCCAATAAAACCGGTAACCCTTGGCCTGTCGAACCCCACGCATTCCTACTACACTGACAGTTTTGTTACTATTGAATTTATTTCGCTATTTCTATAGAAGTGTTCATAAAGTATTTTGTTGTAGGTTTACAAACGAGCAACGGCTACGGTTGGTGCAGTTCGTGACTGGGACATCTTCGATTCCGTATGAAGGGTTCTCTGCGCTGCGCGGGTCGACGGGGCCGCGACGCTTCTGCATAGAGCGGTGGGGTCGCGTGGAATCGTTGCCGCGAGCGCACACCTGCTTCAACCGTCTCGACTTACCGCCATACCCCACCCCGCAGCTGCTGCACGAGAAACTCCTGCTCGCCGTAGAAGAGACCAACACGTTTGGCATCGAGTGAACTCCTGCACTCTTAAACTTGTACTGCTTTAATGCAATTATTGTAAAAATACTTTAACCTAGTGTTTGATATTTATTTGTTAACTTATTATCGCTTAAATTTATCTTGAGCATAAACTTTACCAGTTATTTAAATGGCTGAAGAATTCCCTATCCTATTCTCTTCTATAGTATGTTTAGTATTGACTAAAACCCAAAATGATTAATGTTGTAATTGTATATGAAAATCGTAGGGTCTGTGTAAATAATAGTCAATTGATAGCATAGTCAACAGACAAAGATAGATTAGTTGTATCATATGTTGTAGAGGCATTTATCAATATAACTAGCCACTTGTGTAGTTATTGAGGTTTGTACTTTATAAATGCTTTTATTGTAAGTAATGTATAATGTGGCTGTGATGCGGGGCCCGAGCCCCGTTGTTTAGATGTTATGCTTTGACGTCACTAATTTATAGTTTTGCTGGACTCCAATATATGAATCGGGGAACATACATTTTGTGGCAAAACAAAGGTAGAACTAAACACATAAGTATTAAGTACCAAGTATTACAAAATTATCTTTATTGCTTGAAACAGGAGCTACAAAAATCTCCAATTTATAAATACTACCTAGTCAGCTATATAATATTCGCTTGCATAAACAGAATAGCAGAAATGTCACCTGCAATGGACATCTTAAAATTTAAGTTACACAAAATTCTTAATATGAATGTAATTTATTGTAGAAATGTTCCTCACTTCTGTACCAGAGCTCTGCTCAAAGTTGCTTCTCTTGAATGTTCTTAGTTAAAAGGTATTTTGGTTGCAATTTGTAAATATTCATTATTTATTGTGCTTATGTAAACAATCAAGTATGACTTTGTTTCTTTTTGTAAGTAAATACCTCTATTATGTTGAATATTTACCTACTTTGGATATTTTATTGTGTAAATTTTAAGTAAATTGTTTTTGTGTGGATGTGATAAAATGTCAATATACAATATTACTTAACAAACTGTGGTTTCATTTATATTAAGTTTGTGGTATACCACAAAAAACATGTGGCGAGTGAAAAGATTGCCATCGCCAATCGCTATGCACCAATTGAAGTCCGCAAATAACACATGAATCTGACAATCAAATTGTGGCCATGACAACAATTACACCTCCAAAATCATAAGCATTTTTTTTTAACCAAGATGCTGCCAGAAATCATACACAATATTGAAAAAGCGAGCAGTTTTGTAAATACTAAATTAATGTTAATACTTCAATTCCGCAGTACATTTGTGTAATTATTATGACGGACACATTTACCAATAACTTTGATTTTTGCAGCCTTAACATTTAAAGAAAATGCAAGGGGGAGGAAATATAAAAGGTTTAAATTGGACATGGAATTTTAATACTTCCAAGTATACAAAAATAATTAAGCAAACTCACACATACAAAATGTTTTATTTTTTTTTAAGTTTGTGTAACAACAAAATCAACCTTGTTTTGACCTTATTTTTTAAAACATATATAACTATTTACAGAAAAGTCTGCATTCTTAAACACAAACTGATGATATAAAATGCAAAGGGTTATTTCATCACTTCCTACACTAAGTTGTGACGGAGTTAATTTATTATGGTGTGTCAGAGTCTGTAAGATTAAAATCCCTATTATTAACTGGCAAAAGTTAACTCACATAGCTGTCACTACAATGATAAAAGCTACTGTGATGATAGATTCATATGCGTTAATGTCAAGTCAGAATATCCTCCCCCCTTCATTACACCTTAAGGAAAACATAAGCAACTTTTGATTTTCAACATTAAGTAACTCTCAAAACAGCAGGAATCAATCCCGGCATTGGCAGATGACACTCGGCATCCCAACAAATAAAATTTGTAATATAATACACACTTGTGTAAATATTTTGTATATTTACTTCAAAAATAACGGTACATACAATATTAATTTGTATTTCTATAGTACTTTCAAAAGGGGTGAAGGAGGACTCACATCGAGTCTAGCTGAGAGAGGGGAAATCCTTGCTGTCGTCAACCTTGGGCGGAGCCACCTGTGAGCGCGGCGCTGGGCGCTCCTCCGGCGGCGGCTCCTCGCGCGGAACGCCTCGCCCGCGCCCGCGCCCTCGCCCACGCCCACGACCGCCAGTACCGCCGCGCCGTGCCGTGTCGGTGAACGTGAACTCGATGCCCAGCACGCGCTTCTGGCGACCTACACGTTGCGGGTAGTCGGCCATGTCGTATTCCTCATCGGTGTCGTCGTCTTCCCCACCCTCTTTCTTCTTCTCCAGCATCACGAGGTTCTTCCACTGACTCAAGTCCTCGCCCTCACCTGCCTTGCGCAAGTTGTACTGCGGAGCCATGCGCTGGGCGTTGCGCAGCGCCTTGTACTCGTCCAGCGTTAGCTCGCGCGGCTCCTCCTCGGCCGGTACCGTGCGCTCGGCGTCCGGTTGCTGCCCGTCGCCAGCGGCAGCCACGTCCGGGACCTTCTCCTCCACAGCCTCACCCTCGGAGCCAGTCTTCTGCAACTCATCCAAGTCGTCTTTGATGGTACCCCAGTTGTGAGGCCCTCCGCCCTCGCGCTTGTCCACCGGCTTCACACCGGTCTTGTCGGAACCAGACCTTCTGTCGAACTCGCGTTTGCCCCGACTGTCGTAGGCGGGCCTCGGACCGCGTTGTCCCTCACGGGGTTCACGCGGTGGTCTCGGTCCACGGCGTTCACCACCCTCGGGGTTGTCACTAAAGTTACGCCGTTCAAAGTTCGGTCGGCGGTCACTAAATTCGCGTCGAGGAGGCCTCGGTGCGACTTCTTTACCGTCGATGGCACCGTTTTGCGGTCGTTCCTCGCGACGCCTTGGAGGCGGACGCTCTGCAGGACGCTCACCAGTCCGTGCCGGGCCTTTGCTCTTTTGTTGTTCGCCGGTCTTATTTTCTTGAGACTTCACATTTTGGGTTTCCTTGATGCCCTTCCGAGCGACCACACTGCCGCTCTTAGGCTTTATTTCGGGTTTCCCTTTGTTCTCTTTTTCGGCTTCTTTGGTTTTCTTTTTAAGCTCCTTGGCTTGCTCTCGCGCTTTTAACGCATCAAGAGGATCGGTCTCGTCGTCCAAAAAAAGAGCGTATCTATTAACAATCCCCACACCGTAGGAATTCTCCATTGTGATCCTCTTGATGATTTAATCACACAAAAACTGGATGTTGGTGGATAATTTTACACACTTAATAGGTCGACATTTTGTCTTATTTTATTGATTTCATTTAATATGGCCGACAAACGAACACACTAATACGCCATATGACGGAAGGAATAGAGAAAAGAATGAAAATGGCGGAGATTGTAACTTTTTAAAACTTGACTTTATGTCTATGGTTTATTACAGATTTCAACGATTATAGGAATGCTACCACAGATAAACAAATCTCTGATTTTTGTGGTTTATAAAATATTTTTTTTATAAATATATATAAAAAAATCTAGTAATTAGATTCTCATATTCTGTATGAATAAAACATATTTCTTTTACTGATGTTAAATGGCACATTTCATTTCGGTGAAGAAAATCTTACTAATTTTATAAATGTGAACGATTTGATGTATGTATGGATGTATAAAACAGTCCGGAAGAATATATAGACTACCGATGATCCTAGAAATGTTTGCGGTTCCTGTGGTATTCTTTTGTTTTGCATATTTACGATTTAATATCGATAACTCCGCTAAGGGTTAATACATATTATTTGAATTGGGCACAGATAGAACATAGCCATAATAAGCCATAACGCCACAATACAACATTTAAACACGCAAGTTCCTTTTCCAAATAAAAGCGTTGAAATATAAAATCATAACCACCTTGTTTGCCTTTCAACTCTAGTTACTAATATTTTATTAAACTTTAAAGGCATAATTTATTTTGAAAAATTCTTAAGAGTAAATAAATGAAATGTTTTTAAAGTACATAACTACACTCAAAGCATTTAAGTCAAACAATAAGTTGACGCGATGTTTCAGCCAAGAAAACTTTACAACAGGTTCATCAAAAGTAAGAAGTCCAATAAACACTTATTATAATCACTTTATGAATTTGCCTCTACCAAACGATAAGGTATTTGCTACTTACGTTTGGATTGACGGCAGTGGTATTAACTTACGATCTAAAGATCGCGTTTTGGATCAAGCGCCTTGTGACCTAAGTGCACTACCTAAATGGTCATTTGACGGAAGTTCATGTGGACTAGCCAAAGGAGAAGATTCTGACACAATGTTGATACCGGCTGCGATCTACAAAGATCCATTTCGTAAGAATCCTCACATTATAGTTCTTTGTGAAACCTATCTTCCTGATGGAAATCCGACTTCTACAAACTACAGATCGAGTTGTGCCAAAACACTTAGTGAAATAAATAATTTAGAACCATGGTTTGGTATTGAGCAAGAATATACAATATTCGACAATGATTTATGGCCGTTAGGTTGGCCGAAAGGCAGAGGCTTCGCAGTTATAAATCCTTTATATTCTTACTGTGGGAACGGGGAACATATTGCGGGAAGAGAAATTGTCGAATGCCATGCCAGAGCGTGCAGTTATTCGGGTGTAAACTATGCTGGCTCAAATGCTGAAGTTATGAAGAGTTCATGGGAATATCAGATTGGTCCAACGTTAGGTATCAAAGCAGCAGATGATCTATGGCTTAGTCGATATTTGTTGAATAGAATAGCAGAGCACTTTGGATCAATAATTAGTTACCACCCAAAGCCAATGGGAAAATGTCATCCAGGAATAGGATGTCACCACAATTTTAGTACGAATAAAATGCGAGACAAAGATGGTATTTCTGTAATTCAGAGTTTTTGTAAAATTTTATGTGAAAGACACAATGAATTCATAAAAAATTATGGTCTTGGGAACGGTGAAGAAAACAAGAAACGGTTAACAGGAAAATTTGAAACAGCTCCATATAATTCATGCATTTGGGGAGTTGCAGATAGAGGTACTGCAATCAAATTAAAAAAATCGGTAGTTGTGGAGGGCAAAGGTTTTTTGGAGGACAGAAGACCGGCTGGGGACTGCGACCCTTATCGAGTTTCGAAGATGCTTGCAGAAATTTGCTTGCAGTATAATAAATTACCGTGTTAATAATTTAACCAACTTCAAAAAGAAGGAGGTTCTATTGAAAACATAGGTTCTTCTTGCATCTTCTTCTTCTTTTAAATACTGTCTTTTAAAGAGTTCTAAACTTAAGAAACCACTTTTTTTATCGAAAAACAAAATATTCTTTTTTCATTTCATTTAAATCATTTTTGTTCCTTCGTCACAACTTATAATTTCTCCGTAGTAGTCGCGAAATTCCACAAAATTTAACAAAATTTTAGTTTTAACTCAATTTTATTAAATTTCCAAAATGAATTATTTAAATACTCTTTTGTCTACTATTAAAATCGCCAATGCTTGCTTTATTCCAAAAAGAAACATGCTGAAATGTTCCATAAATCACATATTGAATAAGAAAGTTATGGACAGATATCTTCGGCTTCCGATGCCTTGTAATAAGGTTCTTGCCACATATGTATGGATTGATGGTTCCGGAATTCATTTGAGAAACAAGGATCGAATATTGTCATGCACGCCATATACCGCTGAAGCTGCGCCAAACTGGGCATTCGATGGAAGTTCAACGGGTCAAGCCAGCACTGATAATTCAGATACGATCCTAAAGCCTGCTGCAGTGTTTAGAGATCCATTCCGATTAGAACCACATGTTTTGGTCCTGTGTGACGTATACAGAGGCGACGGAAAAGCAGATCCTTCAAATCACAGAAAGTTTTGTAACGATTTATGTGAATTTCACAAAGCGGAGGAACCTTGGTTTGGATTAGAGCAAGAATATACTATGCTGGATATTGATGGATGGGGTCTGGGTTGGCCTAAGGGTGGTGGTTTTCCTGCTGTAAACTACGAGTTCTCTTATTGCGGAATTGGCGCAAAATATGTTGCAGGACGAGATATAATTGAAGCCCATACGCGTTCATGCCTTTATGCTGGTTGTGATTTTGAAGGCACCAACGCCGAAGTCATGTATGCTTGTTGGGAATTTCAGATAGGAACTACAGTTGGCATTAAGGCTGCAGATGACATGTGGATGGCACGATATTTAATGACTCGAATTGCTGAAGATTATGGCGTCGACATCACTTATCATCCTAAACCAATGGGACCTAAACATCCTGGTGTAGGTATGCATCATAATTTTAGCACGAAAACCATGCGCTCGGATGGTGGTTACAAATTCATCGAAGAATGTGTCAAAAAGCTAGAAGCTAATCACATGAAGCATATGAAACGGTACAGTGTCGATGAACAAGGAAATCGTATGCGACTCTCCGGTAAATTTGAAACAGCACCATTCGAAAAATTTTCCTGGGGCGTTGCCAACAGGAAGTCATCTATTCGAATTCAACGAAGTGTTAAAGCTAAAGGTAAAGGCTTTTTCGAAGATCGGAGACCTGCCGGTGATTGTGATCCGTATCTGGTTTGTGGGTTATTGTTGGACACGTGCTTGGGACCAGCCTCAGGTGGCGGCGGCAGAGCATGCAAGTAGTTATTTTTTAAGTGCGATTATTGTATTATGTTTATCCTTTATTTCTGTGACCTATGAGTTGTAAGTAATAAAACATTGGCGAAAACAAACTTTTGTTTCAATTTTATTCTATTCGTTTTACAGTAGCAATATATAGCCTGAAAGTCTGGTGCCGATATTTATAGCGAGCGATTTCAAATAACGTGATTGCAATGGCACAGTGTATATATTGCTATCAAAATATAGTCAAACAAGGATATCATAACTGGTGAGAGATACGCTGCTATCGCGATGGTTCAGTCTGAATCAGAATATAAAATAAAACCTTCATAGGCATAGAAAATGACAAAAGAAAAAATGACGTGAAAGACACATCTACAGTACAGAAAGGATTTTGTGACAATTTTGACGTTGACAAGTAGGCGCTAGTGAGCTGTCATAATATTCATTCTCAAAGTGGGCAGTAGACAAAATAAGTTTGGGAACTACTGTTCTATAGTATACTTACTATACTCTTTGCTCAAAGTAAAATCAAAAACATAAATTTCATAAATTTAAATTGATTTTATAAGGCTATTCTAATTTAATAATTAAACTAACAAAAAATACTAATTCTTTTCTTAGTTTTTGTCTCAGGACATCAGATGGAAACGTAAGTGTTCATAATAATAACCGATATTTTGTAAATATAGCTAAAATTGAAGAAACCAATATTGTAAATGCAAAAGTCTAGATATAGGGTATATGTTATGAATATATTTTGTCATTTTTTAGAATAAACGCTCATGCTGCCTTTCTGTGCAATTATGAAGTGATGCAAATCCTTCAGCAACTAAAGGACAATACTCAGAAAAAACATAAAAGGGAAGCATCACTAGCAACAGTTACTTATGAGGTAGGAATACATTGGTATTTGACTTACACCTTGTTCGTGATTTTTACCCTTTCATGGATTATGGTGGTAAATATGGTAGAAAATAAGTTGAATTATTAGACAGAAGATAATAGTTAAGATAGAAAGGGAAGGTTTCTTTTCCGATGTCTCCTATTACCCATTAAATGCATTTCCCCATCACATTCTTGATATCAAAGAAACTAATAGAAGATACAACAAAAGACTAAAATTTGGTATGTGGTACGGCTTTCACTAGCCACAATAAAAAAAAATGGTATTATTTTGTTAATTTAAGCAAGTCTTCTTTAACACACCTATGTGCAGATTTATTCAAAAAAGCTGTGGAACTATTATTTAAATTTCTTTAAAATCAATACTTATACAACTATGATGAATAATTCTTTTACAGACAGTTCATTATCTACAAGATACTGAATGTAAAAGTCAAACAGAAGAAATGATACAGAAGTTTCTAGAAGGAATGAAAAAATTCAAATTAACAAAGATGGAAAAATTAATGATGGTAAATACACCACCGAGAACAGAATTGGAAATACAATTGG